CTGGCTAATGATCCTGGAGCAGAGAGAGTGCCAAGACCACAGTCTCAGAAAGAGAGAGACTGAGAGCTGACTGAGAGAGCGACCCAGAGGAGAGTGAACTTCTGGACACACCTTTATCTGTGTGCTGGGCATGATGTGCATGATGTGGAGTGTATTATTGGCCAACTTCGTGTGCTTCCAAACCGTCATATATATACCGGGCACGATGTGCATGATATGGAATATACTATTGTCAAATTTGGGTCTCAATCCTAAACCTGAGGTCAAATCCTAGGCTCGTACGTGAGGCTGTGCTCCCTCCCAGCTTCTGCCCCTGCAGACACTGGCAGAGCAGAGAGGCTGAAAAGTCCTTGACTGTCCTGGCAGCAACTATAAACATCAGTGTGTTATAAGCCGCCTTCTCAGCACGAATCCAAAACACAGCTTTACACTAGCTACTATGAAGAAAGTTGACTCTGTCCCAGCCAAAACCAGGACACCAGTATACAGTCCTCTATTGATTTTTCTGTTTGTTTTGGGGTTTTTTGGGGGGGTTGGTTTTGTTTTTAATAAAATATAGATAGATTTTCGTATCTATGGTGGTTCCCTTTTCCTCTCATTCCTCATTGATGGAGTAGGCTTTCAACAGGGCATTTTAGGTTTTTCAGACTCAGAAGTTTATGATATTGAAAGAGGACAGTGACGTAAATAAATCTGTCTTTGAATTGTGAGGGGAGTGGTTCTCGAAATAAATTTGAATGATGTGTTCTTTTTCAGTATGCAAGAATTTGATTTAAAATGGTCCTTTAGAATCCAGAGGTTCATGTAGCAATTTGGAGACTGACCAACCACAGTCATTCACTTGAGCAAAGTTTGGGCTATTTTATTGAAAAAGTAGGGGCAGGGGGCAGAAAGCAACATGTACAACTCTCCCTTCTGAATTTGAAGTTCTGATTATAAAACGTATGTCCGTTTTGCAAATATCTGATGCTCACAGTTGTAATGAAGTTTATTACTGAACAATATGGATGTGCCTTTAATCCTGAGTTAGATCCATCATTCTCATGTATAAATAAGAGCTGCATAGTCTCTTATAAATTAAGTCATGTCTTCCATATGTTTTAAAGCCAGAGAAAAGGGATTCTTCTGTCATTGTTTCTGTAGATGCTATTCACAGGCTTCCCTGTGAATAGCTGGGAATACCTGGAGTATTCAAAGTTGCCACTAGAGGGTCAACTTCTTTTCAAACTGTCCAGTGTTTCCAGTGGAGGGATTACTACATATCAAGTTATATGATGTCCTTTCTCATATTCTGCTCTAGTCTTCTGCTGTCCTTTTTTGTCTGCGTAATTTAGATACAACATGAGCTTTAGCTAACTGATCACAGTTGAGAGTCACAAGCAGTGCCGATTCTTGCTTTTCGTTAACGCATACAAAATGTATTATATTTGTAGGTTTGTATTTGGATAACTCCAGTTAACAAATAATGTTCCTTTGTTCCTAAAAGAGAAATTATTTATCTGTAGCTGAGAATTGCATAGTTTCAAAGTATTTGTCAGTTACTTTAAAAGTAGAGTTTTTTACTGTAACAAAAAATGAGTGGTTACAGTGAAACTGACTCCCTAGCCATAATTTCGTTTCTCAGATGTAGATCTTTAGATTTATTGACTCTATGTAAAATGTAATGTTTATTAGATCTATTTAATTTTTATTATTTGATATTTTTAATAAAATATAGAGGCAGTTAATATGTGTAGTTTTATAATTTTCCATAGTATGGAAAATGGGTCTTATATAAATTATGAAATGAGACAACTCCTGCACACTTCTTGAATGTAGAAAGTAATGTTAAAAATGTATTTTGGAATTGATTTTATTTTTTTCTCAGATTCTGAGTTATTTTCATAAACAAAGTAAAGTTCGTCAAGGAGTCGAAGAGATGCTCTATAGATTGTATCAACCTATCCTTTGGAGATCACTGAAGGTAATTATCCTTTTCAGAAAACAGGATTATCTTTCTCCAACTACTAAATTTTGGGTCCCTCCCACATGTTCTGTTTTTAATAATTGCTTTTTAAATAAAATGGCTGTGGAAAAAGAAATCAGTGTGTTTAGTATCTCAGCTGTAGCAGGGTAACTTTGCAACTTGTAATTAGGCATAGTTTACACAACAATATTCTAATTTGTTAATGTACTTTATTTCTATAATTCAGCTTTGTTTACAGGTACACAGAGTGCAGGATTGCAGTAGACAGTGGGACTAACACTAAGTTTGGTCTTCTCATCTTCTCAGTCTGGAATTTTGTGTAGTCTAGTATTCTGTTCTCCAAGTTCATTATGGAATGATCAGTGGTTTCTTAATCAAAGCCAGAAATGTTCAAAGGGTGATTTAGTCTCACCTTCTGATTAACTGCCAGCCTTAGAATACAGCTTTAATTTGTTAGAGTATGATTTTAGAGTACCTTTTGTTCTAGTTTGATTGTATGTACAGACATTCAGGCTATGGATGTGCTTTTAATCATTCAGAATGAAGTTTCTGACTTCTAGTACTTTTAAGGTGAGTGTGAATGTCTTCCAGTGGATTGCATGCATAGACTAAAGGGTACCTACTGCAGTTTACCTACTCAGTTACACTCAGTTATTAAGATGAGCCAATTTTCATTCTTTGTGAGCAGCTTTTATTTTGTCTGAGGTTATGAAGTTGCTTCAGTGAGAGCATACTCATGCAATTTATTACAGCCAAAAGAAGTGCTGTTTAACATTTACTGAAGTGTCATTTACGGATTGTTCATATAGCATCTTCTCTAGCCATGAGAGAAGTATTTAAATACTCTTAAAGTTGAAAGTATTTAAAAACAACTTATTTAAAATGAATTTTTTGAGTTACAGGAAGGAGTTGAGAGGTGTCTGGTTTCAATAGAACCCTATAGTAGAAGTGGGAAGATGGACAGACTCATCACTAGAGCAGTGTCTTGTTTGGCCTTACATTAAGGGTTGGATCCCATCCCTTTAGAATTTATATAAACAAGGATCCTTCTGGATGAAACATAAATGTTCTCAGTGTCTCAGAAACAATTTGAGTGGTTAGCAAACTACAGTATTCCATTCTTAAGGGAGTTGCTGTCTGTAAATGGAGGCTAGTAGTTCACTTTCTAAAGCCCAGGTCTCCACTCAAATAGAAGATTAGAGTACTTCAGAAGACCATTCTGTCAAACCTTATTAAATCTGCATAGATTTGTTTGGAGAAATGTAAAAGAAAGGTTTGGCTTGAGGAAAAAAGGTTAATTATTGATTTGCAGCAAGACAGTGGCAGAAATTCTTGATTCTAGAAATGTGCTTCAAATTTTTAACAGCTGCTAATCATAATTTTCACATCACTAACGGTTCCATTGCTAGAACAAATCTGAATTTCCTGAATTTTTGGGGGTGTTTTTTTGTTTGGTTGGTTGGAGTTTCTTTGTTGGATTTGTGTTTGGTTTTTTTTGTTTGTTTGGGGTTTATCTTGACAACTTCTACATATGTAGTTAAGCATTTTAAGTTTAGACATTAAGAGGCATATCAAATAGGACATGGAGAATTTGTTTTAATACAGCAAAATAGTCCAACTGTTGTGAACATAGATTTTTGGAATGGTAAAGGGAGGATTGTAAAAAATTGAATGCAGCAATTATATGAATCATGTAATGATTCAGTACAAGGAAAGATTCTGAATTCCAAATGATTCAGTACTGTATTTGTGATTAGTGAAAATAAGTATGTGACTGAACATCAAAATTTGGAAATTTATTTTTGGATAGGTAACTGTCTTGCTGTGTGATTTTTGTATAGTTAGTTTTTCTTTTTTCATGTAGTACTCCTGAAATATTTGACATTTTTAAGATACCTGTTGCTATGACTCAGAATCACCAGTAGTTTAAGATACAGAATTAAGAAGGGAAGCTTAAATTGTCCGTGGTCGTATGGATTCTGCTCCTGTGGTGGGGCTTGACTCTGTCTGGATGCCAGGTGCCCACCAAAGCCTTGCTATTACTCCCCTCCTCAGCTGGACAGGGAAGAGAAAATATAACAAAAGGCTCATGGGTTGAGATAAGGACAGGGAGAGATCACTCACCAATTACCGCCAAGGGCAAACCAGACTTGACTTGGGGAAATTAGTTTAATTTATTACCTATCAAATCAGAGTAGGGTAATGAGAAATAAAACCTAAATCTTAAAACACCTTCTGCTTACTCCTCCCTTCTTCCCAGGCTTAACTTTACTCCCAGTTTCTCTACCTCCCTCCCCTGAGATGTGCAGGGGGATGAGGAATGGGGGTTGTGGTCAGTTCATCACACGTTGTTTCTGCTGCTCCTTCCTCCCCAGGGGGAGGACTTGTCACACGCTTCCTGTGCTCCAGCGTGGGGTCCCTCCCACGGGAGACAGTTCTTCACAAACTTCTCCACCATGAGTCCTTCCCACAGGCTGCAGTTCTTCATGAACTGCTCCAGCGTGGGTCCCTTCCACAGAGTGCAGTCCTTCAGGCACAGACTGCTCCAGCACAGCTCCCCGATGGGGTCACCAGTCCTGCCAGCAAACCTGCTCCAGTCTGGGCTCCTGTCTCCATGGGTCCACAGGTCCTGCCAGGAACCTGCTCCAGGGTGGCCTTCCCACAGGGTCACAGCCTCCTTTGTGTACATCTACCTGATCTGGTGTGGAGTCCTCCCCAGGCCGCAGGTGGAGATCTGCTCCCCTGTTACCCTCCATGGCTGCAGGAGCACAGCCACCTCACCACGGGCTGCACCACGGGCTCAGGGGAATCTCTGCTCTGGTGTCTGGAGCACCTCCTCCCCTCCTGCACTGACCTTGGTGTCTGCAGAGTTGTTCCTCTCACGTGTTCTCATTCCTCTCTCTGCCTGCTGTTGTGCAGCAGTTTTTACCCCTCTTAAATATGTTCTCACAGATGTGCTCCCAACTGTCATTGATGGGCTCGACCCTGGCCAGCAGCGGGTCCATCCTGGACCTGGTTGGCACAGGCTGTGCCCAACAGAGGGGAAGCTTCTAGCAGCTTCTCACAGAAGCCACCCGTTTAGCCCCCTTATTACCAAAACCTTGCCAGAAAAACCCAATACAGCTCCAAAGCTTGAAATGTCAATTTAATTTTGTTAACCAGTTTGATGCTCCTATTTTAGCCAGTGTACAAATTCCTAATTTAATATGGTGAAGAACAAATCTTGTTCTATGACACTGGTTACAAAATAGAAAGGGAAATGATAGAAGGACCTCTTTACCCCTCCTTGCAGAAAGGAAAAATACTTCAGTTGTAAGAACAGAAAGGATTCTAGAACTTTCTGTGTTGAAACTACTTGATATCGTCTCTGAGATCATTAAACTGAGAATGCAGATTTGTAGTGCATAGTTTTCTGTTTCTTCTTAAAGTGCTTGTTTTGCAAATACTTAGATCACAAAAGCTTCTTTGTGGCTTTTACCTACAAATATTTTATAAGCCTTTATGCTGTTTTAAGTTTTTATAATATAAGCCCTTATGTAACTTCATCTTTTTTTTGTGTGTCATTGTTATATTTGCATGAGAGGTATTTTTTTATAGCAAACAGTTGTGCAGTGATTGGTTACTAGTATAAGAAACTATATAAATATAAAAATAAGGATATTTATTGTGAGATAAGTAGTGATGAAGCTATTCCTTATTAAGCTCAAAAAGTCAAGAACCACTCCTCCAGGAATTCAAGCTGTTGAAGGAAGTGATTTCTTTAAAGTGGTGTGTTTGGTTGTGGGCTTGTTTTTTTAACATCCCACACTTCTAAACTAACCTTTACTGAGGAAAAACTGTTCTAAGTTATTGGAAGTGAATTGCAGGACCTGTAAGACCAGATGAAACTTAAAGCTACGAAAATTAACTGAAGAAAAAAAATAAAATTCTTTTAAAAAGGTTCTGAAAGTTCCTCAGAATTGTACAAGCATAAAGGTAAAGAAAAATTAGTAATTTAAATAACTGCAGGCTCCTCTTGTGCAGAAAAGTCACTGTGGAATAAAATAGGACATGAATTTAAAGTCTTAGGTTCCACCTCTATGAAGACATTTACTCTGTTGCGAGCTTGAATATGCAAATGCATTTGGGATAAATTCCAAGTAATTAAAAGCAAGAATTTAAACTGTGGATACTCAGTTCAGAATTAAAGTAATCTTAATGGAATTCAGTGCAATGCACTTAGAAAGTTTATGAAAATTAACTTTTTGGAACGGCTGTGGTAGACAAGGTCTAGTTTATTCCATAAAAACATACTTGAATTAATTTTCACATGAAATGTTAGTGCAGAAGAGCTATTTCACCCCGAATTCTCATATTAGCTTGTTATGCATTGATTCTGCAGTATAGACAAGCTCAAAGTTAAAGGATTTTCTACAGCTTTATAGGATTGAATTAAGAATTATAATCTTTTCACTTTTAGACTGTTTGTATTATCCATTATAAAGTAGAACACAAGTCTCTAACTGAAGAGTGTGTATGGGCTTTATTTGCCTTCATAGTATTAAATTTAGAATTGCTATTAATTTTGTTGGCTCAAAGAATTTAGAATTCTTTGGTTCTACCCAGAGATGTGACCCACCATGTGAGGATCAGTCCAGAAGTGAAATACAAAATAAATTGTAAATGAAGTAATTGTTGCTCATTTCTTTTGTGTTTTTCTGTTTTTATTTGTCATTAGTTTATTTAGGTATCCTTGTTTTTCCT